AGAGTGTGGGAAGGACAAAAAAAAATCACCCTCTAGATGTTCTAGTTTTATAACTTGTATTCATGTTAAACGTTTCTGCATTTCTGCATGTAATACTAATTAACAGCAGGTCTTACCTTTTTTTACTCTTTTTATCTCATATTCACTGGGATTTGAACCACCGACCTCTAGATCTGCTTCCCGCTGTCATTACCACTTGACCACGAAAGCAATGGATGCAAGAACTCTCATACGTGTATTTCTCTTAATTATGAATCGGTTCATTGCTCCAAGCTCCTCTTATATAAATTTTAATTTATTCATACATGGGCATACGCTACTAAAAATGCTGTTAAAATGGCGGACTCAATGTGCAATCCTAACTGCTTAAACGAAGCAGATTTCTACAGAGAAATAGAGCAAGAAGCTACCAATTCCAAATAAGTGGTTAGGCCTAATCGCTAACCTGAGAGCTCAACCCAAACTACTAAGTCACATGCAAAGTTCCTAGCCTAACATCAAAGCTAACCATTCTAAACAAGTGCTTAGGCCTAATCACTAACAGGAGTGCTTAACCCAAATTACTACGACACATGCCCACATTCTGCTCAAAAGTCAATTTAAAAGTGCTCAAGAGTGCTGGAAATGTAAAATAGTGCTCCAAATTTGAAAAAGTGCTAAAAAAGTGTCCAGCACAATTGAGACGGGCCTAGCAAAGTTGCTAGCCTAACATCTAAGCTCCTCATTCCACTTAAGGGCTTGTTTGAAAATTAAACTGAAAATTAAACTGGTTAGACAATTCCAACCAGGTTTGAAAAAATTAATATGAACCAGTTTGAAAAATTTAAATTTAAATTTTTAACTGGTTTAAAGTGCCTATGAAGTAAAAAATAATTGCTGCTAATTTGAAAGGCTTTTCAAAGTAGAAGAATGGCGTTTTCCTTTTTGGAATATCTTTTTTTTCATCTCAGAGATATTTACATTTTTGTATTAAGCAAATGAGGAAAGTGATGCCATCACAGGTGGTTCCACTAAAACAGCACAACACTCAATCGCAAATAACACTAGAAATATTAAAGCAGTGTTTTTCAAACTTGGCACCAGAAATGTACATCACATAAGAAACATAATGACACCCGTTATGTCATTGCCATGACAACAGTTATGCTGCTGGTTCTGTTTTCATTAAGACTAAAATTCCCAGATTTTATCTTAAACAAGTGTCATCCACTCCCACCAATCTAATGCCGAGAGTTAAGACAATATGGGAACCATGTGTGTTCCGAGCAAGACCCACTGTCCCACTTTAAAAGGTTGCAAATGGGGATATTTGGTTTTTCACAGAAAGAGACTGGAGCGAAGAGTGTTGCCATGGCAACAACATAGTAGGTGTCATTCTGATTCTATTGTGATGTACATTGCTGGTGCCAAGTTTGACGAACACTACTTTAGTATTTCTAGAGTTATTCTTGATTGAGTGTTGTGCTGTTTTAGTGGAACCAACTATGATGTCATCACTTTCGTCATTTGCGTAATACAAAACCGTAAATATCTCTAAAACGAAAAAAGATATTCCAAAAAGGAAAATGCCATTCTTCTTTACTCTGAAATGGCTTTCAAATAAGCAGCAATTATTTTTTACTTCATAGGCACTTTAAAAAAAATTGAAACAAAAATAAATTTAAACCGTACAGTGTAACATCTATAACAAATTTCAGAATTAAAAATGTCTTTTGAGAACTTCTTTAAACAAGAATGCCTGATGGCACTTTCATAAGTTTTGAAAACTGTAGGAAACATTGCTTAGGAAGCCATTAAGGCATTCATACATGTAATTGAAGTGCAAATCACATGGGTGTC